TTAAAGGCTTTTTTAAAGTCCACAAAGTTCAAAATAGTTGAGACGTTCCATTCTTTGTTTTGTTCTACGATAGTTCTCAGAACAAAGAGTTGACCTGTACATGATCTCCCCGGTAGAAAACCCACCTATTCCTCTCTTAGTCTCTCATCTATTGCTGTTCTAATAAGAGACAAGATAAGAGCGCAAAATATATTTCCATGCACAGAGAAAAGCGTTATTCCTCACCAATTGCTACAGTCTTTTAGGTCCCCACTTCTTGGTAGTTTTATTATTTTTCCCTTTCTCCGTTCCAGGGGCGTGTTTTCTTTTTCAAGAATTTCGTTAAATAGCAAAAGTAATATCTCATAACCTCCTTTTCCAATCATTTTCATATGTCTGTGGTACTTCTGTCTTCTCCTGGACTTTTGTTACTTTTCATTTTCATGACCGTTGGTAAAATTTCCGAAGATTTATCAAATGTTTTGTAAATTTCTGAAGAAACTTTTTAAAATCTAGCCTCAATTGCGATTACGCTTTTTAAAAATTGATACAAACTGCTGTGAAAAGTATTTATGACACTTATTCACCCGTTAAAGGCATATTTGAGGATAGTTTGTGCCACGAATTTTTGACCGCACTATAGGCATTGTATTAGAATTCAATATCCGATTTCTTTTTTTCTCTTTTCTTTTTTTGGTAAGTGTTTTACGGCGCTCGCAACTGCATAACAGGGCCATAAGAGTGCACGGGACACATTAAACATTTTCAGGTGGTAGGAAATTTTGAACATTTCCCGGGTGGCAGCCGAAGCCTACTCTTATCGATTTTGGACCGCCTAGGGATCTTCAACGGGCGCAACTTGCACAGGGGACCTCCGAGATTTTTCACCCTTGTCCGAAAAGGCTAGGTGTAGATCGTTTCTACAATAAGATCAGGGGTGTAGCTAAAAGACAGCAGTAAGAAGGAGCCAAGGAGTAGCAGTAGAAAGACTGCAGAAAGAGACAGGAGCCCAGAGGAGAGGGCAAAGGACGTGGGGAGGGTGTGGTCAGAAATTGGAGACGAAAGCAAACGACAAAACATTGTTAGAAAGCTGGAAATGAGGTGAAAGGAGTACACTTTAGAAGAAAAAATTTTCCATCGCTATTTGGATTCGAACCTGGGACTTATTGAATGAGAGGCGAACAACTTAACATTTAGACCACGAGAGCCCCGTGCCTTACTTTTGGTGAGGAAAATACCCTTCTTTCTTGAATAGATGTCAAGAAACTTAAAACTAAAGTAGGTGGGGACGCCTGGTGCCAGACGCTGAAATATCGAGACAATGGCTGCCAAAATTTGCTGCCTTCCAAACTTGTATTATACGGTGACCTCCAAAATAAACTTGAAAATGTATTCACCCAATCATATGTATGAAAGCGTTGCACTACCCACTCGGGCTGTATACTTATGTAAATCTAAAACAATTCTGCAATATCTGATAGATTATAGATTAATATTTCATGAATAACAGGAGTCCCTGGGGTATGCTAACTCAAAATTGACCTTAAAAACCCGAGCTTGGCAAATCTGTGTGAAATCAAAGAAACCTAAAAGAGAAGTCGCGCTGGTATTGAGGTGCACCAATACTGCTGGAATGGACATGTATGCATTCAAATAGGCACAGACAAGACAAAAATATAATTCAAGAAAGATACAAACTAAGCTGTTTATTATATCTCGTCTCATGGAGAAAAAAATGTACAAGTTGGAAACACGTCTAAAAAAATATCCTGTATAAACCAGTCAAAAATGTCAATGAAACAGTTTGGGCGCACACGAGGGAGAGATTTTTATGTCCACACGGAGATCATAAGGGAGTAATTTATACGTCTTCACACAGATCATATGAGAGCCAATTATGCGTCTTCCCAGAGATCATAAGGGAGTAATTTGTACGTCTTCACACAGATCATATGAGTGTTGATTAAAAGTCTTCCCAGAGATCATATGAGAGTCAATTATACGTCTTCACACAGATCATATGAGTGTTGATTAAAAGTCTTCCCAGATATCATATGAGAGTCAATTATACGTCTTCACACAGATCATATGAGTGTTGATTAAACGTCTCCCCAGAGATCATATGAAAGTCAATTATACGTCTTCACAAAGATCATAAGAGAGTTATTTATAATATGTCTACAAGGGAAACTGAAATGCTATATTCGCCTTAACAAAATTAATGGAAAGATGTATTGAAGAACAGAAAGATCTGTATTTATGCTTCATAGATTATTCAAAGGCGTTTGACAAAGTTAGACATGATGAGCTATTTAAAATACTGGAAAAGCTTGACATAGATGGAAAAGGGCTAGGAATTATCAGGAATTTGTCCTGGGACCAAAGCACTAATGTACAAATTTATGGAGACTACAGTGAATATAAGCAGAATAGAAGAGGGATGAGGCAAGGATGTGTTATGTCACCAGACTTATTTAACATGTACAGTGAAACAATCCTGAGAAACGAAGAATGTTCAGGTCTCAAAGTGAATGGATCAAATATTAATACCATCAGATATGCCGATGACACAGTTTTAATAGCAGACTCAGAAAAGGACCTTTTAATCATTTCTAGATACTGTTGTGTCAGAAGGTAAATGTAAATGATTATTGTTGAATATATAGAAAACAGAATGTATGGTAATATCCAATAAAAAAACAACAACAGAAAATCCTATTTCTATTCGCATTAGCAAAGGCGAAAAGATCAAACAAGTCTAACAGTTTGAATATCTAGGATATATGATAACATTTGATGCCAAATGTTCCACATAAATAAAACGAAGAATAGCAAGGGGTAAGCCTACTTTTAATAAAATGAGCCCAATCCTGAAAAAAAGAAAGATCTCAATGACTACCAAAATGAAAGTTCTGAGATGCTATGTATGATCAACCCTTCTATACGGATGTGAATACTTGGCAATCATTAAAGACAGGGGAAATAGAAGCAACATTAATGTGGTTTCTTAGGAGACCGGCTGAGAACATCGGGGAAAGAAAAGAAATCAAATGAGGCAGTGCTTGAAAAAGCCCACGTAGAACGCTCACTGTTAAAAAAATCAGGAAACGACAAATTTAGTTTTTGGGACACCTGAATAGACATAGAGGTCTTGAACATCTAGCTCTAACTGGCAAAATTGAAGGAAAAAGAGGCAGTGGTAGGCCCAGAGCAACCTAATTAGGAAACCTAAACAAATAGATAACGGGGAAAGATCTGGGAAATGTAGGGTTTTGATGAGCATCCGAGCAAAGAAATGAATGGAGAACCATGCTCGCCGATGTCTGTCGCAGATCTCGCACTGGATGACATAGAGATCATAAGAGAATTATTTATAGGTCTACATAGAGATCATAAGAGAGTTATTTATATGTCTACATAAAGAACATAAAAAGAGAGAGGGAGAGAGAGAGAGAGAGAGAGAGAGAGAGAGAGAGAGAGAGAGAGAGAGAGAGAGGGGGGGGGGAGTAATTTTTGCGTCTTCGCAAAAGTGATCAGATCGAATGCTCTCTGAGGATCGTTTATTCTATTGTTTCTATTAGATGAGAAAATGGAAAATGGGTATCTTGAACAGATGAGACGGGTGTGATGAAATGTCTTGGCTGTTTATCGTTGCTAGTCAAAGACAAGAGTTCCATTTCCGTGTGTGGAAGATAAGATAAGATAATACTTTATTGTCCCAGAGGGAAAGTTTTCTTGGCTGTACAGGACCGTAAAAACACATACAGGTATACATAAAAATCTAAATTATATATTACTCTCATTAAAATTCAACATGAAAAGATAAGTAAAGCTGACATAATGTACATAGATAATATCACATCAGAAGCATCATTCAACCACATGCAGGAATTTGATTACAAGACCTCTGGAGATATATACTCCTAGATACGTACTCTAAAGAGATATACACATTATACTTATTCAAACAACAGCCGTATGCTAGATGGTGAAAATGGTGAAATGGTATGAGTTTAACGCCCCTATCAACACTATTAGGTTATTTAAGAGACGGGACCTCCTAATTTAACGTCCGTCTCCGATAGGACCGAGCCAACTGGGAAGTTCGTGTAAAGTGCCTTTCCCAAGGACACAACGTCGGACCGAGCTGAGGCTCGACCCCCCGAACCCTCAATCTCACGATTGTATGCTAGATGGTATGCTCTGAAGCTTATCTTATTGAGCGTTTCCATCTGTCTGTTGGGATGTGCCGAGCCCGGGTTAGCGCTGACAGGAGTAGTCAGAGCCTTCCGCCTCTTTAGGGACCTAAATTGTGTTGTTTGAGGCTAAAAAAATGTAGAGTAAAACATCCTACAATGAGAAAAAGAATGGTCCGTGAACTCGGGAGTCCTTCCTCTGGACGACAAACGCCAGAAGTGCTGGAATTTCAGTTAAGGTTATACGGTAGACCAGCTGTTCCAGTTGGCCAAACCCAGACACCAAGCGTCTTCAGGAGAGAGAGAGAAATTGCTTTGTTTGTTTCATAAAAGTACATGTGTCTTTTCTTTCTGTTGTGTTGTTGTTGTTGTTGTTGTTATTGTTGTTGTTATTGTTGTTGTTGTTGTTGTTGTTGTTGTTGTTGTTGTTGTTACTGTTGTTGTTGTTGTTGTTGTTGTTGTTGCTGCTGTTTTTGTTGTTCTTTCTGGGTTTTTTGTTGTTGTTTTCAACATTTAGAATTTGAATTTCGACCAAATATTTCTCAATCACATGCAAACGATACCAGAGATGAAAAAATTACAATAGCAGAGAACTTGAACATTGTGGGTTTGGGACAACAAAACAGTCTACAATCAAGTTCCGCTCTGTCGGTTGTTGCAGTAGACAAGTCGTGAATTATGACACAACTAGACCAGCAACTGTCATGGCTTTCAGTCTTTGCTCTCTATTAAAGGAAACAACGTCGCTGCGCTGGTGTGCACCATGGACGTGCAAACGAAAGTCAAAGCACCAGTCTCGCTTTAGTCAAGTATCGTGCACAATTC